GTAGAAATTGGTCTGCTTTATGGTGACACACACACACACACACACACACACACACACATACATACACATACACATACACATACACACACACACACACACACACATACATACACATACACACACACACACCACTCACAGAGACACACACAGAGACACACTCACACACAGACACACACACACACACACACACACACACACACACACACACGCACACACACACACACACACCACACACACACTCACATTCACACACAGAGACACACTCACACACACACACACACACACACACACACACACACACACACACACACACACACACACACACAGTTTCTTCTTTCTCCTCCACAGCCTCTGGAAATTAAGAGACACTGGTAGAAATTGGTCTGCTTTATGGTGATACCACACACACACACACACACACACACACACACACACACACACACACACACACACACACACACACACAGAGTTTCTTCTTTCTCCTCCACACCCTCCCTGCAGGTGTCCTGGTCCAATTCCCTCTCTGCATGAATAATAATAACAAAAATAATAATTGATAACCCAGGTGCAGCCAGCGTGCTCTACAGCGCTGACGTGATCCTTTTGCTTTTCGCTTTTTCTTTTTCCGTCTGCATGATTTCTGATGTGTGTGTTCGCTGTGTTCTTGGCTGCCTCTCGTGTGTGTAAGCCACTACTTTCCCACGTTGTGGAGCAGGGTCTCCCACAGGCCTCCCCCCTTCAGTCTCTTACCCCTCTCTCTCTCTCTCTCTCTCTCTCTCCTCCTCTCTGCACCTGTACTCGCGCTCCAGCTGCTCCTTTCTCGGCTCGATGCTGTTGGCCGGAGCCCATGTTGCACTTGGCATGTCCTCAGAGACCCTGGGGCCACACTTGACGTGCGAGAGCCAGGCGGGAGGAGGGAGAGGAGGGAGAGGAGGGATGTAGGAATCATGGGAGGAAAACGCTGAGTCATTGTCATTGAAGAACGGGGGGATATCAGAGCAATGACAGATGTTTGAGGAAGAGTTATGGCGTCATAGTTACTGTCAGAGAAGAGGCTTCATGTGGTTTTCGTTTTTGAGAAAAATGCCAAAAATGCTTCAGGAGAAACCTCAAGGTTATTCGCAGTCGATGACCTGCTTTTTCATAGTTTTGGCCGTAGTTTCCTTTATGATAACAGTGTTCTCATCAAAGCTACTGCTGAGATCTGGGAACATGACATCCTGTTGACATTTCAGTGAAATATCTTGATTATTTTCATGACATTTGGGGCAGATATCCATGAAGCCCTGAGGATTAAGCATGATTACGTTGTTCATCCCTGATTTTGTGTCATTAATCCAGTGAAATACCTCAATATCTTCCAATGTTGCGCATGAAGCCATATGAAACCGCAGAGTCATTGTCATTGAAGAACGGGGGGATATCAGAGCAATGACAGATGTGTGAGGAAGAGTTATGGCGTCACAGTTACTGTCAGAGAAGAGGCTTCATGTGGGTTTAGTTTTTGAGAAAAATGCCCAAAAATGCTTAGTTTCCGTTACGATAACAGTGTTCTCATCAAAGCTACTGCTGAGATCTGGGAACATGACATCAAGTTGACATTTCAGTGAAATATCTTGATTATTTTCATGACATTTGGGGCAGATATCGATGAAGCCCTGAGGATTAAACATGATTATGTTGTTCATCCCTGATTTTGTGTTTATAATCCAGTGAAATACCTCAATATCTTCCAATTTTGAACATGGATCTGAGTTAATTATTACCTATGACTTGATGCTCATTTGGGTTATTTTCTACTGCTGGCTTTGGCATGGCATGTTTATGGGTCATTGATCTGATTGGTTAAAGTTAGCCTGTGATAGACATATGGATTATCCAATTACTTTGCAAGTACATTTTTTTAAATGCCTGCCGTTCAAATTAGTGTTTTTTTTAAGGTCATTTCTTGAGAACTAGTGGATGGATCGCCATGAAATGTGGAACAAACACTCACTTCCTTTTCCTGATGAATTGTTTTATCTAGCGCCATCATCAGGTCAAATGTTGTATGTGTCAAACACTTTGTACAGCCTCTTGCTAGCACGATAAATGACTTGTATTATTTGATCGCCGTCATTAAAATCATTAGCATACAGGGCAGTGTTTGTAGCTTCTAAGCATCTCAAAAAGTGCTTATTTTGGCTCCATTTGAACTTCAGATCACAGGATTTAATGATGTGCATGTGTGCAGCTTTGTAAGAAATTGTGGAAGTTTCCAGTGCTCGCAGGTTTCTCTGCCCTCCTGGGTTTTGGAGCTTCTTGGGTTCCCTTAAATTCCAATCGAGTATTAAATCTCACGTCTCGGAGAGTCTGCTGCGGTGCCAAGTAGGATGTTGTGATACAGCTGAAGATTATAAGATATGTAAACCAGAGGAAAACTGATTACTGCATTTGTGTGAAGCTTGTTTTAATTAACTCCACTTTCACCAACTACTTCATTCTCTCATTGATGCTTTGACCGAAAATATTGAAAACACTCGTCACCAGAGGTGGGAAGTAGTGGAAATACTTTGTTACTGTACTTAAGTACATTTTTCTGGTATCAGTACTTTACTCCACTACTTATTTTTCTGACGACTTACATTACATTTTGAACACAAATACCTGTACTTTCTACTTCTTACATGTTGAACACAAATACCTGTACTTTCTACTTCTTACATGTTGAACACAAATACCTGTACTTTCTACTTCTTACATGTTGAACCCAAATACCTGTACTTTCTACTTCTTACATGTTGAACCCAAATACCTGTACTTTCTACTTCTTACATGTTGAACCCAAATACCTGTACTTTCTACTTCTTACATGTTGAACTCAAATACCTGTACTTTCTACTTCTTACATGTTGAACCCTAATACCTGTACTTTCTACTTCTTACATTTTCCAAACAGGCTGGTTCCTTTAGTTTGAATGTGTGTCTGGTAGCGTGATCATTATTATTTAGAGTCATTGCGTGCCTATTGATTTGAACACGATCCGTGTATCCATCATTTCCTGGTCTTCTCTAAAGAAGAGGGACCAATGAAAACGTTGTCATGTTGCCGTTGTTCAGCATGGAAACATTCATTAGCTAACAATGACATTATTGTTCTATTAATATAAAGGGAGGTCAGGTACTCTTTAAAACAGCTGCTAGTTATGGGTACTTTTTACTGAAGTACATTTCAAAGCCTCTTTACTTTCACTTGAGTAAAGAAGTTTAGTCAGTACTTCTACTTTCACCAGAGTATTTTTAAACACGAGTATCTGTACTTCTACTTGAGTAAAGGATGTGTGTACTTCTACCATCTCTGGGCTCCAGACATCTCATAAATCTTTCCGTTGGTGTGCACCACACATGGAGCCGAAAGAGAAGAAAGAGGACAGGGAGACGGATATTAAAAAGTTTGGATTCCTCTCCTCTCTTCTTAGTTTTCCCACTATTTCTCAGCCCTTCTCCTCCCGGGGTATCGCACACGCAGACCTCTAAATCTGCCCGGTGACACCTCCGTCCCGCTCTGTCAGCACCCAAAGAAAGAGAGGAAATCTATGTTCGCAGCAGAAGAAAGAGCAGAGGAGATATTTGTCCCCGGGCTTTGTTAGCGGAGCTTCAATGGAGAGGCATCAGTCAAGTGGCCGGCCAACAGCCCATTGTGCAGTAATTGACCCTGATGAAGTGCTGGGCCTTTAATTTGGTGATAACTCAGCTCGTAATGTCTCAGACACTCCCTTGTTATTCAAGCGTTTATAGAGGCTTATCTGTATATGGAAATATATATTTGTGTTCTGTTAAACTAGGAGGTTTTAGAGCTGCAGAGTGAAAGAGAACAGCTTCTTAAGTATCTTTGGTTCTCTGTCATATAAGAGTGAAGAAACCAGAACATGTTCTCATTTGAGATGTGGACTAAACCGGACATTTAAGGACTAGTTTTGACAACTTTTCTCTTATTTTCTTTGACATATAGATTAAACCACCATCTGATTCATTGAGAAGAGAACCTAATTGACCAGTTTGGGCTTTTCATTTAGTGATAACTCAGCTCGTAATGTCTCAGACACTCCCTTGTTATTCAAGCGTTTATAGATGCTTATCTGTATATGGAAATATATATTTGTGTTCTATTAAACTAGGAGGTTTTATTGTTACAGTCCTCTTGTGATGAGGCTTTAATGAAAACAGGTCCTTCAGACTCCACATAAATACAGACATGAATACATACAAGTTACACAATATGTCAACACACATATATATTCTGCTTTGATCTTTTTTATACACTTTACTTACTGTTTTACAAACTTTTTACCCGCAGTAACATTCCTGTTAACAGAAATGCGCAATGAAACGATGAGTCCATTGACAAACATATATATTTTTTATAATTTATTGCTCATTGCAGTCGTTTTTCATGAATATAAGTCGTTTTTTTTGCCTCTCCAATTTGTAGATTTGCTGAATTTCTAGAATACATTCGTGTTTTTGACAAAACAATCAAATCAAAGATATCACTTTGATATATTCTGGATAAATCAGATCAATCAATACTTAAAATAATCATTGCAGGCCTATTTTTCAATTTAAATAGTTGTATGTCTTAGATTCCCATTTGTCTATTACTTGCGTGACTTTCCTAATACATACATATTTCATTGATTGCTAGAGGAACCCTGAGATCCAAGATGGTCAATACCAACAACTGCCTCTCTGTTCTTGTTTATGTGATAATTGTAAAACAAAAAAATGACACACACACACACACACACACACACACACACACACACACACACACACGCGCACACACACACACACACACACACGCACACACTAAAGGACAGATGCATTTAAAAAGTCTTACATCTGAAGGAACACCAGCATGTGGGATGACCTAAATGTGGACTTGCAACATGATGTGCATTGGATTAAATCCTAAAATCATGTGTGTTATTATTTGATATTAACCCTTTGTGTTGTTGCAGGTACCATTACCCCGTCCCGAAGATCTTCTACGTGCAGCTGTCGGTCGGGAGCAACGAGTTTATCGGAGACGGTCGAACTCGCCAAGCAGCGAGACACAGCGCCGCCATGAAGGCTCTGCAGGCGCTGAGGAACGAGCCCATCCCAGAGAGACCCCCACAGGTAGGACACACACACACACACACACACACACACACACACACACACACACACACACACACACACACACACACACACACAGGTACACACACAGGTACACACACACACACACACACACACACACACAGGTACACACACACACACACACACACAGGTACACAAGTACACACACACACACAGGCACACACAGGCACACACACACAGGCACACAGGCACACATAGGCACACATGCACACACACATAGGCACACAGACACACACACACACAGGTACACACACAGGTACACACACACACACAGGTACACACACACACACACACATATACAGACAGACACACACACACACACAGATACAGACAGACACACACACACAGACACTCTCACACACACACACATACACACACACAGACACACACACACACACACACACACACTCATACACACACACAGACACTCACACACACACACACACACACACACACACACACACACACACACACACACACACACACACACACACACACACACACACACACACACAGGTACACACACAGGTTCCTTGATGTTCAGTATCAATTAAAAGGCTGATATAATTTTCCATTAATCCTTTGGTCAATAAAATGACAGAAGGTATCTCCCTCTCAGTTTCTAAAAGTCCAGAGATAATGACCCAAATATGATATTAAACCCAGGAAAAGCTGAAAATCTACATTTTTGAGAGGCCGACAACAGCATTTTCTCCCCTTTATGTGTAAAAAAATTAGTTTTGAGTGGAGAATATCTTTAAATTATGTAATACCATGATATAAAACAGTCACAGCTAAAATAATACAGTCATATAAACTTGAAAATAACTTAATCAATGAATTGGTTTGTTCCTCAATTGACAGCAAATGTCGCTCGATGGTGTAGCTAACATGCTAACACTATATATTAATGTGACATGTTATCTTCAACTAACAACTATCTTCCTCAATGTTCAGTATCAATGAGAAGGCTGATTACTTTTTATATCAATCGTTTAATCTATAAGACAGAAAGTAGGAAGAAATGTTTCTAAAAGTCCAAATATATTGACCCAAATGAAACCTAGAAAAAGCAGAAAATCTCACTTTTTGAGAGGCTAACATGCTAACAGTTTGTATTAATGTGAGAAGTTTATATCTGATGTGTGTATTTGGGTGTTATGAAAGCTCTGGTCCACTCACAGCGCTGTTATTACTCAACGATCTGGGTTTATCAGAGGTCAGAGCACTTTGTTTTCTGCTCTCCTCACGCCTCGGATGACTTTCTCTCTGATCCCACTTTAAAACTCTCCCTTAATGGAGGATTTGTGCCGCTGTGATGAACTTTTGACGCTAAAATTAATACATAACCAGCTTTCATCAGATTGAATCAGAATCCACCTGAGCTCTAATTACTCTAATACAGTCAAAGGCCTTATTGGCATACTAGTTTTATCAATGGAAACATGAAGTCTCCTCCAAAAATGCAACAGAAATAGACCATCAAATAATGCAAGAAAAAAATTAATTAAATGGCGTGAGTGATACCATGTGCAAGTAGATGCAGAAATAAGTAAATTATATACATATAACGTTAAATTAAATACTGTTTAGTAGAATAAAATACTACTTATTGTTATATTACATACATCTGGGAACTGTTAAGAGATGTATGTGCTATAACTAGTGGAGGAAAGTACATTTACTCAAGTACTTTATTGAGTATTTCTATTTTTTACTACTTTTAATTACATCTCAGAGGGAAATATAGTACTTTTTCCACTAACTTGACAGCTGTAGTTACTTTTTACATAAGAACATGATGTGTTTACATGAATTATACACTAATTGTTGAATTAGCACTGCACAAAGTATACATTAAAAGCACCCAGATGTACAAAGTGTAGGGTCAAAATGTGGCTTAAAAAGTCAATTTACGACAACGTCAGACACTGACGCATGCTAAAAGGGGATACGAGGCCATCACATGACACCAGAGGAAGCTAAGATACGTTTTTATTAGTTAAAGTGGACCTATCATGCTATATTTGAATAATATAGTGTAGGACCATACCTATATAAGGCATATTTATACTTTTTTTTTTTCAAAATACCAAACAGATCACCATTTTAGCCATGCCTCATTTTGCTCAATTTGAAAACATTTTGCTCAGTTTTTGCAAGGGTTGATTCAGTGAGAACAGCACCATCTACAGGCCTGGCATATGTACTACAGCGTCTCCAGCGCTTTCGAACGGCAATGGCCGTGGCTGTCTCCTCCTGATTGGTGGAGTTGGCCCAATAGCCGTAGCGCCACCGTCCTGACGTCAGGACAGTGTTCAAATCTGGATCAGTTTTTATCAGATCCGTTGCAGCCCCTTTTTTAGAGATTTGGGTATGGAGGAAAATAGAGAGGGTTGTGTTTTCTGACACTTGGTGAGTTCCCTGGAACACCGGGGACACATATTCATGTATAAAAGACGTACAAAAGTGCATTTTGCATGATAGGTCCCCTTTAAATTAATGATCAGATGGAAATATCTATATTAAAATGTAATGTGAAAAAAACTCAAAATGAATTGCAGATCAGAAGCAGCTCTTAAGATGTGAGTTATGTGATTTCAATTAAGACAGATTAATGCAAAGTGGAGTTTGAAATAGAGTATTTTTACACTAGTATTTAGTATTCTTTATGTAGTATTACTACTTTATCTCAAGTAAAGGTACTTGTTCCACCCCTGGCTCTCTGACAGGAGAATATGCTATTTTTATTTCCCAATGTTACTCTACCTCTCCAGGGTTTCCCCTCAGGCTTAGCTGTTAACTGTTGTTATCATCTCCCACCGGAAATCAAATTACCCAGCATCCTCTCTGCTGGCATCACTGTGTGTTATTCAAACCGTGGCTCTGGCTCCGCTTTGGGACTCGCTTTCTCGTGGCGTCGGCCTCCATAAATGTGCTCTTTGTTCGCCGCTGCTCCTCAGTCTTGCTTTACAAATTGAGGAGCATTGTGTGTCTGCAGAACATGACCGTCTCCGTGTCTCCGTGTGAGAGTGTGTGTGTGTGTGATCTTACACGCCTGGAAGTGTGTACGCCCTGAGGCTCAAAGTGTTCTGTAAACCAGGATCTGTCAGAGAATCACAACGATATGTAGCGTAAGGAATCACATGATTAAATTAAAAAAACTGGAATGAAACTGCTGACCTAAATCTGGTGATGCTATAATAATAAATATGATGTGTGCTGCTAAACAAGGTGCTTACTGTCTTGAGAAAGCATTTTGTTTACCTCACAATCACTGGTTTCCAGGGTATTTATGAGGGGAAATCCGTGTCATTAGTTTCTAAGAAAGAAAATCTACGGCTTTATTTATATCTGATAACAACAATGACTCAATTTACATAAATAGCCACTTTCAGCCACTCAAACATGACAATAAAGGGTTATGTGCGACTGCTTTACTACACAAACACACCCACACACACTCATGTTTTGTTTACATAAACAAACTATTATGACAATGCAAGTCTGGTGCAGCAAACCAAACCAGGAAGGCAAAGAAAAACACTGTTTTTAAGCCTCTCAAAGATGGAGATCTCCTGCTTTTCTCCGTTGTATATCATATTAAAGTGAAATCTGTAATATGATTAAAAAACAATACTTTTAAAGACGTCATCCTGGATTTTGTAAAACTGCGATGGATTTTTTTTTACCGTTTTCTGACATTTTATAGCCGAATAAAGAACATTATGAGAAAATAATCTGCAGATTTATCCACAACTAAACATTAAAGTTCCCACGTATACATGAAGCATCATTTTTGAGCTGTAACGATTACTTTTCTGTCAACCAGATCAATTATTTAAGTCATTTTCAATGTTATATACAGGGTTCTTACGGTCATTAAAAACCTGGAAAAGTCATGGAAATTCAAAATGCTAATTCCAGGCCCTGGAAAAGTTATGGAAAACAATTTTTTCCCAAAGTTTTGGAAAAGTCATGGACATTTAACTAAAGTTGCATCAAATATAATTTATATTTTATCTAATCGCCGAAACAGTAATACTATAATGATAATAAATACTGTATCTTATAGTAATGAAACGTAAAATGGCATTTAACTGTTGAGGTGTTTTGCTGGTGAGAGATTTTAGTAGAAGCTAGTAAGCCTATTTGATTTGTTTCAGATAGGCACAACATGTTTCCTTATTTTCCTGTTCCATGTTAAAATAACAATTTTCAGTGGAACCGCTGAGAAAGAGTCATTTCTTTGGTCATGGAAGATTAGGTAAAGGTCATGGAGAAGTCATTGAAAATCATTGGTGAAAAAGTGTATGAACCCTGTGTATAACTGCATTGTCTTTTGCAGTGATGGTATTATGTCGTAGTACTCAAACACGATTAATTAATTCAATTTTTAATGTACATTTTCATGTAATTTTTCATGCAAAAGGGCAGAAAATGCAGTTTTCAGCCTCTCAAAACAGACATACTGGTGTTTTTCTCTGTTAATAATCATATTAAAATGAATATCTTTGGGTTTTAAAGGGAGAAAAACAAGACATTTAAAGATGTCACCTTGACTTTTAGAAACTGGGGTTGACATTTTATCCACTAAAAGACAACATTTTCAGAAGATAATCTGCAGATTAAGATGTTAATGATGTATATTCAGATATAACCATTAAAGTTCCCACGTACATAAATAATACATAAAGCATAATTGTAGAGCTATAACGATTACTTTTATCATTTTCAATGTTATATTGTGATGTTATTATGTCATTGTACCCAAAAATGATTGATTGATTGATTACACTTCTTTTGTAATTTTTAAGTAATTTCTCATTCAAATTGGCTGAAAATGCTCTTTTCAGCCGCTCAGAAGAGACAAAACAAGACATTTAAAGATGTCACCTTGACTTTTAGAAACTGGGTTTGACATTATTCTCAGTTTTCTGACATTTTATCCACTAAAAGAGTAGAAAGAAATCTGCAGGTTACTTGATAATGAGATCTGTGATTGTAATGTTTTATGTAAGATGGAAGTCATGCTGTCCTTTGGAGCCTCTTTGTCCCATCGTTTGATCTACAAATGTTTTGCCTGTTAGCGTTAATATGTGTCTGTGAAGCACTTTTCAGACACACACACACACACACACACACACACACACACACACACACACACACACACACGCTTGTTAAAGCAGCCTCGAGAGAGACTCGCACCATTCATCACGCACTTTATTAGGAATGCTTTACATTAGCGGCGGAGGGATATGTTTGCAGGAAAACAATGAATAAGTGATGAGGCTTTAATGAAAGCAGGTCCTTCAGACTCCACATAAATACATACATGAATACATACAAGTTACACAATATGTCAACACACATATATATATTCTGCTTTTATCTTTTTTATAAACTTTACTTACTGTTTCACAAACTTTTGACCCGCAGTAACATTCCTGTTAACAGAAATGCGCAATGAAACGATGAGTCCATTGACAAACATATATATTTTTTATAATTTATTGCTCATTGCAGTCGTTTTTCATGAATATAAGTCAGAAAAGGCGTTTTTTTTGCCTCTCCAATTTGTAGATTTGCTGAATTAAAATCAAAATCAAAGATATCACTTTGATATATTCTGGATAAATCAGATCAATCAATACTTAAAATAATCATGGCAGGCCTATTTTTCAATTTAAATAGTTGTATGTCTTAGATTCCCATTTGTCTATTACTTGCGTGACTTTCCTAATACATACATATTTAATTGATTGCTAGAGGAACCCTGAGATCCAAGATGGTCAATACCAACACACACACACACACACACACACACACACACACACACACACACACACACACACACACACACACACACACACACACACACACACACACACACACACACACACACACACACACACACACACACACTCCTCTCTCTTGCCACTGTGAGGTCTTGTCTCTCGCTGTGGTAGGAGAGCCTGTGAAATACAAGAGACCCAGAGCATGAATCATTTGTCGGATCATTTTCACAATGAGATAGGCGGGAAGGAGCCCAAAGGGAAAAACTGCAGCCATTCAGACGTAATCTGACAAAGAGCTGGACGCGATAAAGATCGAGACACGAGACAATCACACCTAAGCCCCTTATTGTGCGGAGGATGATACCATCTAGATGTCTTTATTAGTAAAAGAGACCAAGAGCAAGACTTGTAGGAGTAATTCAAACCATCATTCTCATAGATTAAGTCTGTCTGATGAGTCTAAAACACCTTAAAGAACATGCCAGAACAGAACAGGCATGGGAACAAGGCGTAGATGACATTAAAATGTGGATTAAAGGTGATTTTCAGACAGTAGTTTGCATTGGTTGATGATGTTCATGCTGCTTTTGCCCAGACCCCCTAAACAAATAACCTTAATGTGTCTATTCTGGTCAAATAAAGATTGTAAAAAGGTGACTTTATTAAGTTCCCATTTACTCTTTATAAGAAATTAAGAAGTTGGATTTGTTTGCATAAAAAAAACTAACAGAAAAAACTGAAATCTGCAGTTTTTCGAACCTAAACTCTCTGTTCCTTCTTCATTTTGAACGCATCAGATCAACTTCTCATGCCTCATTGAAACACATATTTGAGCCCTTGAGTTTTTTTTTTTATTCTCCAGGAACAATTCTTAATGTTATTATCTAGAACACAGACTCAATATCATGTTTACTGGACCACCCCCTCTGCAGGGCCTTCCTGTTCAGACAGAGGACCACCAGCCACATCCTGAAATACTGAATATCAATATCCAATATCAGATAATGATCGCAGCAGCTTGGCGGACATCCACCCTGAGTTTGTGAAGAGTAATCCTTGGTGCCATGGTTTCTTAGCACTGAATTGCAGAAAAATAAAAGACCTAAACACCATAATTTATGCAGACATTCGCATCTGATCATTAATTTAACTTAGAGAACTCATCTTAACGTCCTCTGGTCTCATTTAATGGCGTCTTATCCCCTTTTAGCATTTAGATCAGCTGTCGTGAATTGACTTGTTATCCAGTTTTAAGACACTTTTTTTACCCTACACTTTGTACATCTGGGTACTTTTTAACTCTGATGAAGGATTTTATTGATTGGACGTCTGTATCTGAAGCTATCAGAGAAACAAGCTGAGCTAACGTTAGCGGCAACTCAGATGTTAACCCTTTAAACTGATTTAAAAAAAATCCTCCTGAAGCATGAACACTGAGGGAATACTAACTAAGAAACTCCAACTCCCATGATCCCACACTGCTTCACCACCACAACAAACTATTTTCTTACTGTTTTCATT